TCAAAAGGTGAATAGGTTTTTCCCTTTCTTCTTAGTATTTTAGACATTTTTGAGCATTTTTTATTTTCTTATTTTTTAGTGACACATTTTGAGTGTACGATGCGTTCTTTACAAAAGTCTCTTCCGCATGCGATCATTTCATTGTATGCGCTATTTGCCAGAGCAGACTATTAAAGGTCGTAGGGAAATAAGCATAGTGAATCGGTACCGGTTATCGGTCAGTATAAACTCCAGATTCCGAAAACCAAAACTGTCCTCAAGTTCGTCATACTCAAGCTCTCTTTTTCCCTCTACAAATGAGCCTCACTATCTGTTGCAGTAGATAAGCAGTCCTCTCTCCCTTTTCCGCAATAAGTACTAATTCTTTTTCGACATTGTCTAAAGTCAGAGCGTAACGAAGTTCTACTTCTCACTAGTTACAGTTGCTCATTGCAGACCATGCAAGATGCCGTAACTAACCGGTGTAAAGCTTTTGTTCACGTCTAAAACCTTAGCAGCTCTGTTAAATTCGGAAGGGTTCGTTGAAGTCTAATTGCAGCGTCTGTTCACCAGCTCGCTATAAAAATGTGTGCAAGATCTATATCTACTCGTGTATGCGCTAGGTTTGGAACCGTTCGTGCACCGACACCACTAACTGTCCTCTAACTAAAACTGACTAATTGCGTGTCACAAGTTTGAGGTCAGAACTGTTGTGAGAAAGAGACTTAGGCACCGATTCGTGGAATTCACCCCGGTAGATGTAGGTCTATTCACAATCCGTATTCCTATACCTCCTTAACATATCGTTAAGGAAAGGAGAAACGATGTCATCTGAGTACCTGGAGCCTACTTATAAGGGCTGCCAACGTCATGATGTCAAAAGTGTTCTTGACGATTTTAACGCCAAGGTTGGGAAAGTAGTTCGGAAGATTTAGCCTCCATGACGAAATATTACCCATTTAGTTTGGCATAAATATGGTTGTATGTAGTACTAGATTTCAGCATAAGAAATTTGATATTCATTAAGCTTCTTGGCTGCCTCTGGCTCGAAATACTCGAAGCCAACTTGTCTCCAGTATTCTAAATGCGCTTACTTATTGAGAATCTAACATTATTTCGGACCATTATCTGGTAGAAGTGCGTATCTTTGCTTCGCAAGAAATTTTTGCAAAAATAAAAAGGAGTGACCGATATGTATGAATATTAAAAGCTAGAGGAACTAGCCGGCAGTGGTAATGCTCGAAACTTCTACGAAGAGTTGCGGGGACATATAAAAAGTTTAACTGGAGTATACTCATGAAAGACCCAAAGAGATAATTTGATGTTGTGGGTTTATAGAGATCCAACCTGCTAAAAGACAATGAAACTGTAAAACCAGGAAATAGAGAACCCTCAGCTTCTTAGCAAAATTTTGTAAGTTCATGCTTGATGATTGGAACTTGTACAATAACTTCTGTCGTCTATCTAATTAATAAAAATTTCAGTGTTGACATCTAACGCAGAATAACTCCTGTCGATATGTGCTACTTTGTACTGAGCAAGCAAATGAAAAGAAAAGTCCTCTCTTGATGAACCAAAATCTGGTTTCAAAGATCGGCCATAATTCCCGTTCTTCGACAGAGAAATTTTGGGGAGAATTTACCATAGACGGTGGAATCATGAGCTAACCGAGTAATACTGCGATATCGACACACAGACAGCTGCTACTCTGATCATGTTGAATGTTCTTTTGTCAACAAACACGATTTCTTCAAGGCGGAAGTTTCAAAGTATACGTACATATATAAATATATAATGTTGGGGTTCTGATCTATAATTTCTAGGCACTAAAAATCCTACAAAAGAAACGGAAGATAACGTAACTGATTCTGTAGAACTTCCCATACGAGTATATTGCTCAATGCATGTAATCCAATTGCTTCAGTAAGGCCCAAAATAACATTCTAGAAATGTATCTGATAGATTTTGCATGGACCGAGTTATTCAGGAAGCATACTGCTCTAGTGTCATTGAGAAAATTCATACTTATGATCAGATATTTCTGGTAATTGCCTGTTGGAACTTTGTTGCTTAAAGTTTTATCCTATCAACGAAATCAAAAAGTCTCATATTCTCTATATTATCAACAACTTAACTTCCTACGATGAATAGGAACACTTGAAATTATTATTTAGTACTTCCTAAGAGAATGAGAATCGTTTGGTAAGATTTTATTTTGTTCCAGAGCTGGAGGCTGGAACCAGTGAAGAGGATTTTATAAGACCTGTATGCTGCCAACAGATCTTTTGTCCCTACTACTGTCGTCTAGATTTCACTACTCTTTAGGTAGTGGGAATAAGCGTGAGGTATTATAACCATATCGACTGGGAAGGTACATCCAATACAATATTTAGTATCGGTATGAGAAACTATAACCAATCAACCGGAAGGAAGCTCTTCACAACTGCACATAATAAAGCAATATAAACAAATCGAAGTGCAAAATCATATACATACACATATATATTTGTCAATATGTAAATTAAATATTTCTATAATCGCTTGACTTAAAATTCTCTTTCTCATCGCAACCGCAAAATAATTGAATCAATTTTATTCAAACAAATTCAATTAAAAACACCATGGACAATAAACGAAGGCAAAGCAGAGAAGACAAATATTCTGGTTTATTTTTTTCCTTCTGCAATGGAATTGCATGGGGAATGTAATAAGTGAAAAGAGAGAAAAGGGGTATACAGAATGTTTACGTCTCAATATGCAATTTCACTTCCGTATTTGCAATGCAAATTGCACAGAAAGTGCAAATGTAAAAATTAATCAGTGAGGGATTGCTGACGACTTGCCGAGGAAAATGAATTTTAATTCTTTGAAATTTGAGCTTTTGGGCTTATTGAAGAGAAGTTGCTAATAAAAAAATTTAAAAAAAATGTTGTACATCAGTTTGTTTAATAGATTTTGCTTATCTAAATTATCTTATCAATAAATTATACAAAAGATAAAAAAAATTAAAAAAGTATAGTGCTAAAAAATAAAATAAAATAAAAAAATGGGTTATATTAAACTTAAGTATATGCATTAAATAAATTAATATTAAAATAAACAAAATAAAATAAACATAAATATAAAATATATATAATGCATTTAATTTAATTATGTAAAAAAAATTAACAATTTATAGATTAATACAAAATAAAATTATTCAAATTAAATACAATAAAATTAAATTAAATAAAGAAATATATTAAATAAAATAAAAACTAAAAAAATTATATAAACAAAATAAAATAAATTAAATTAAATTACGTTAATCTAAATCAAATAAAATAGATTACAATCAAATAAAACAAATGAGGAGATAACAAAATAAAACATGTAAATTAAACTTAGCGTAACAAAACAGATTAAATTAAAATAAAATAATATTTTAAAATGAAACAACATAAATAAAAAAGTAAAACGCAGTTAAGTTAAAATCGAAAAATAAAATAAAAAAAGTAATATAACAAAACAAAATGTAAGAAAACAAAATGATATTAAACTAAATCAAAATAATAAAAAATTTTAGTAAAAAAAAATTAAAAAAGTTTTAAAAATTGAAGAAGAAATAAAAAAATTAAATTTAATTAAAGGAAGTTAAATAAAATTATGACAAATCTGAGTTAATTGAAACTAAAATAAAAGAATTAAAAAAGCTGAAAAAACAAAATTAAATTTAATTGTTTTGATTAAAATTAAAATTAAATATATTGATATATAAAAAAATGTATTAATATAACACAAAAAAAATTTTAAAAAATTAACAAAGCATAAAAAATTAATATTAATTTAGTTGAATTAAAACAAAATAACACTAAGCAAAATAAAACAAAATTCATTATTATAAATTAAAATAGAGCAGAATAAAGTAATATAAAATGATTTAAAATAAAGTAAAATGACGAAAATTCAGATACATGAGAGAAATAATATAAAATGATATAACATAAAAAAGAAAAGAAAATATATTACGTCAAGATTAAATAAAATATTAAATAAATTGAAAGAAAATGAAAAAATAAAACAAAATAAAAAAATAAAGTGAAATATAATTTAAAACAACATAAAATATTTATATAAATATATGACAACATATAATACATTATAATATAATAATAATAATAATTATGATAAAATAAAATGAAAAAGTAATAAAGTTATTTTAAACTACACATTAACAAACTAAATTAAATCAAATCAAATATAATTAAATTAAAAAAGAAAGCAAAAGAAAGTATAAAATAATCAATTAAATTTTAATAAAATAAAATGCTGTAAAAAAATAAAAAAAAAATTTTAAAAACGAAGGATATATAATAAATTAGCTTAAATTAAATTAAAAAAGTAAATTAACATCAATTAAAATGCGAATAAAACCAATTAAGAAATAACTCAACAAATTGTAATAAAACAAAATAATAATAATAAAATAAAATAACTATAACAATAAAGAAATAGCAAAGAAAATTATTTTAATTACAGTACTCATTATATAAAATAACTGTGGATATCTTTGAAGACGGAAAGATACACGTTTTTATTGAAACTAGCCATGTTCAATTTTCACATGCATACATACATACATATGTACATCTGTGTATTCTTTTAGTCACTTCCGCATATACATACATATTCGTTGAAATACAACCTCTGCTCTCAGTGCTTCGAGAGCGCTCGCAACTGGACTATTTGTTACGTCATCCATTTCAGCTGATGAAATTTACAATATATGCCAGCTAATACGTACCCGGCGCAACGAATTTGAGTGGAGCCAAGGCGAATTTATAGAACATAAAGTTGCCCCATCATATGATTGCTTGTTCTTCCTTCCATTTCGCCGAATTACACAAACAAAATACATAAGCAATGCCCTACAACAACATCAGCATCGGGCGAATTTTGCATTTGACATTTTAGTTGTACTATTGCACAAACAAAATATTTGAGTTTTGTTTTTGTATTCTTGCTTATGCCGTAAATGAATTTGCCTTGAGTGGAGCTGTCAGCCAGAAAGAAATAGTAGTCGCTTTACATTTGCTTTGGTGTGTTGGCGCTAGTGAATTTGATAATTAAAATGCGTGGTGATACTGTAGGCGGTGAGAACTTATTGCAAAATGACGATATTTACCGCGTGCCGGAGACTATTCATTTTCCAACTGAAGAGAAAAATACACTAGAAATTTGGAAAAATGAAAAAACTTTTCAACGTTGCATGCAGCTGTCGAAAGATAGGCCAAGGTAAGCTGATTTATTATAAACTCTTCAGTGTTACTAACACATGTTCGTACACACGTGAATATAGATATACCTTCTATGACGGCCCACCTTTTGCCACCGGTCTGCCACATTATGGGCACATTTTGGCTGGTACAATCAAGGATATCGTTACACGGTATGCTTATCAACAAGGTTACCACGTTGAACGCCGATTTGGTTGGGATTGTCATGGTTTGCCTGTCGAATTTGAAATTGATAAACTTCTGAACATACGCGGACCGGAGGATGTGCAGAAGATGGGTATTGCGGCGTACAATGCAGAGTGTCGCAAAATAGTTATGCGGTATGCTAATGAATGGGAGGAAGTAGTAACGCGTATGGGTCGCTGGATTGATTTTCGCAATGATTACAAAACGCTCTACCCATGGTATATGGAATCGATTTGGTGGGTTTTCAAACAACTCTACGACAAAGGGCTTGTCTATGAGGGTGTCAAAGTGATGCCGTATTCAACTGCTTGTACAACGGCGCTATCCAATTTCGAATCGGGTTTAAATTACAAAGAAGTAGTGGATCCATGTGTAGTAGTAGCACTCGAGGCCAATAATATTGAGAATACATATTTTCTGATTTGGACAACAACACCGTGGACTTTGCCGTCAAATTATGCCTGCTGTGTTAACCCCAGTTTGGAGTATGTTAAAGTGAGTAGTGAGAAAGTTTAGAAGTTGAAATAAATGAAAAGAAATTATTTAGGTAAATTAGGTTAACTTAAATCAAATAAATTAAATCAAATTGTGTGAAATACAATTTAAAGCTTCATTGGGTTCAAAGTAAATTGAATTGAATATTTAGCAAAATCAAATTAAATTAGTTATATTCATATAAATTAGTTAATATTGAATTAAATAGACTAAGGTGACCTTAAGCTAATATAAATCAAATTAAAAAGCTTAAATTACATTTAAACAAATTAAATAAAAAATGATTTCCTATATATCAAATAAATTATATAAAATCGAAATAAAAAATAAATTAAACAAAAATAGGTTAATTAATTTATATCTAATTCAAACAATTTAACAGTAAATGAAAATAAAATAAATTGAGTGCTAAATTTAACTTTAAAATTTCTCGAAATTAGATCAAATCAAATTAAGCCAAATTAAAATGAATTACTTTATTGAAAATCAATAAAAATCTTTTTTTTTCAGGTTCTCGACAAGAAAAGCAATCGTTTCTACATCTTAGGGGAATCACGTTTGAGTTCCACTTACAAAAATGAAGATGAATATGAGATTGTGGAAAAATTTCTTGGTAATACACTAGCAAATGAGTCATATAAACCACTTTTTCCATATTTCATGGAAAAAGGTGCAGCCGCTAATGCGTTCCGTATACTTGTCGATGACTATGTAACGGCAGATACGGGTACCGGTATCGTACACAATGCGCCCTACTTTGGTGAGGATGATTACCGAATTTGCCTCAATGCGGGCATTATACAGAAATCTAGTACTCCCATATGTCCGCTAGACGAAGTTGGTCGCTTTACAGCAGAAGTAACCGATTTTGTTGGATTATATGTTAAGGATGCTGATAAATTAATTATCGCGAAATTAAAAGAACGCGGCGTATTATTTTCGACTGGTCAGGTCAAACATAGTTATCCGTTTTGTTGGCGCTCGGATACACCTTTGATTTATAGAGCCGTACCGTCATGGTATGTGCGCGTGGAGCATATGTCGCAGAATTTGCGTGAGTGCAGTGCACAAACCTACTGGGTACCGGAAGGTGTACGTGACGGACGATTTGGTAATTGGTTGAAGGAGGCACGCGATTGGGCGGTAAGTGTACTGACATTTATCTTGGGCTTGAATTTGCATAGCTACTTTTATTGACGGTAAATTGATATTTAATCTACGTGGTATAGAGCTCAATTTCGCACGAAATATACATTTATCCATATCGATATATTCTTCTACTCACTTTTAGGTAAGCCGCAATCGTTATTGGGGTACACCCATTCCCATTTGGCGTTCACCAAGTGGCGATGAAATGATTTGTGTTGGTAGTATTGAGCAACTGGCCAAGTTGAGTGGTAAAAATATTGAAGATTTACATCGTGAAACGGTGGACGACATTGAAATCCCCTCAGCCATACCTGGACGTCCACCTCTACGTCGCATTAGTGCGGTATTTGATTGTTGGTTCGAATCTGGTTCTATGCCATTTGCACAACAACACTTCCCATTTGAAAATCGAAGTAGTTTCATGAACAATTTCCCCGCTGATTTCATAGCCGAAGGTATAGATCAAACGAGAGGTTGGTTCTATACGCTTTTGGTCATTTCAACGGCACTCTTCAATAAGGCGCCCTTCAAGAACCTAATTGCAAACGGACTAGTGCTCGCTGCTGACGGACAGAAAATGTCGAAACGCAAGAAGAACTATCCCGACCCTATGGATATACTGCACAAGTATGGTGCTGATGCATTACGTTTGTATTTGATAAATTCGCCGGTGGTGCGTGCGGAGAACTTACGTTTCAAGGAAGAGGGTGTGCGTGACATCATTAAGGATGTGCTATTGCCATGGTATAACTCCTATCGCTTCCTATTACAAAATATCGCACGTTACGAAAAGGAAGATCTACGTGGCTTATCACGTTATCGGTATGATAAGGAACGCCATTTGCGTGAGCTGGAGAATGCAACATTACTGGATATCTGGATAGTATCGGTAAAAGAATCTCTAATTGACTACTTCGAAAAGGAGATGAAACTGTATCACTTGTACACGGTAGTGCCCCGTCTTACGAAGTTCATTGATCAGCTGACCAACTGGTAAGCACATACTCTCTTTGTTTTAACTTATAAAACTATACACTCTCTCCTCCGTCCAGGTACATACGCTTAAACCGCCGTCGGTTGCGTGGTGAACTTGGCGATGTCGACTGTCTGCAATCGTTGGACACCCTCTACTCAGTGCTATACGCGCTGGTACATCTACTTGCACCATTTACACCATTCCTTTCGGAATATATTTATCAACGGCTTCTTCCGTTTCAACCGAAGACATCCAATTCTGCAGCAACATCTTCTGTTCATCACCAATTGATGCCCCAGGTGGACACTAAATTCATTCGTCTTGATATCGAAAAATCAATGTCGTTAATGCAAACCGTTATTGAATTGGGTCGTGTTATGCGTGATCGCCGTACAGTGCCTCTGAAAACTCCGTTAACAGAAATCATTGTAATCCACAGAGACCCGGCAAGTTTAGCAGCCATCGAACGTCTGTCCGATTTTATACTTAGCGAGTTAAATGTACGAAAACTAACACTAAGTTCGGAGAAGAGTAAATATGGTGTTACGTTGCGCGCAGATCCGGATCATAAGGTAAGTTTGAAATATTATTGTTCATATAAAGATCCAGTCAAAGGCTTCATTCACAAAGTAAGAGTGAGCAGTTCCAAAAAACGGTAACTTCTAGTAAACAAAAATCCATTGTATGACTAAGAAGCTAAAGAATATTGTTTCCTCGAACAGTACCACCTGAAACGAGAATTTCCCAAGTTAACCTGAATTTGTTTTAAGTGTGATTGTTTCAGGGTGTTCCTTCAAAAACTTTTTGTCATCCAACCTAACCTGGTTTGGAATATTTCAGTCTCGTATGCCCTGACGACTCCAACATTCGTCGAACTCGTTTTAGGGAGCGCTGCGACGGCCTCAGCTGTTCCCCGAACCCTATTACAAACTTTTGGTATCCGAAAATAAAAATCCACTGTCCCAATTTCCCGATCATGCTCCCCAACCCAACCTAACTTCCATTCAAATCCAGCTCCAGATCGCTAGCTGGCTTAGCATTTGTTTTACAAACAGATTGTCCTTCTGCAATTTGTTGACCTAAACGTGGTTAGAACGCCGCACGAACAAGGTGGTGTCGCTACTAAAACCGGGGAAACCATCCAACCAAGTGGAATCCTATCGGCCGATATCCCTCCTTTCGCCAATAGCGAAGACACTTAAAGTCTATACACACCATCTGACTTCAGCAGCATAGCTTCCACACAGTTCCACAGCAGCACTTAACACCATAGACATTTCTGACATTGACATTTCTTTAGCGCCCGGGTTGAAGAGGTACACCATGGGCTATCTGAGTGGTCGTCAATCATCGGTAGAATTTCGAATTTGTCCTCTTCCTATTAATGTTTAACTTCTATATCTCGAAGCTCCCTCCTCCACCAGAAGGGGTTTCCTTGGCCTCATATGCCGTTGATTGCTCAATATTGACGTCTAGTCCAGTCAGAATATTTTTCACTGCACGATAACTACAAATACAACCGACGAAATCCTTCAACTTCAGAGCCGCAACAAAGTCCTCAAAGCGCTAGACGGAGGAGCCGGAAAAGACAAAGAAGCCTTGCTGTCAACCTACAATACAATTGACAGGCCGGTCGTTAACTAGTCTGCACCGATCTGGGCACCGGAGACAAACGAGACGCAGTTGAAGAACCTACAAGCCTGCCAAAACACCGACACCGCGGGAACATCCTAACAGGCATATAATAGAGGCACATCAGAAAGGGAGTACTAAATTTAGAGAACACACCTACAACTGCTGGACAGGACGGCGTAGAGGCAGGCACTATAGGCCTTTCACCAGGTGTTAATTAACACTTTGAATGAATGAATGGTGTCCTTCAGGCATGGCGCGTCCTAGATCTTAGTAGGTAAAACTCCTACCTATTCATACTCGAGCCCTGTTCAGCATGTAGCAGTCCCCGCCCTACACTAACAACTTTACATGCACTCCGGTGCCGGTACATCTAACACCCTTCTCCCTCTGGTCCAATCCCGTCGAAACAGCACTCTTCCTGGATCTCCCGTTAGATGACATCGGTGACTTAGATTGATTAACCTGTTCCTAAGCAGTGATGGAACAACCGCTACAACAACAACATTTCATCGACGGCGACTTCGACCACAGGGATACATCCTCATAACGCGAAGAGATAACTATTCGGCCAAAGCACATTGAGTCCAAAATTTTACATATATATATATACGTTACTTGTCGCCCGCTCTCATATAGGTAAGCTACTCAGAAGAAGAGGAGAGAATACCTCTTTGTTTTGGGCGACTAACACGGGCAACAGGAACCATGACGTACCCACCAGAATTATTAGCAATTCCCGTAGCCCGCTACAAAATGCTAAACATCAACACGATGCTTCGATCCAAGTTTAGAAAAGTCACGGTGTTGTTGTTGTTGTAACCGCAAAATTATTCCCCAAAAAGTACTTTGGGATTGCGGGAGTGACAGTCCTTGGCCGGATAAAGACCCGACTTTTGCGGAAACTATTGGATTTTAGTCGCCTCTTACGACAGGCATGCCTTACCGCGGGTAAATTCTTGAGCCCCTAACCCGCAGGGGGGTTATTAAGAAAAGTCCCGGTCTCTTACCACTCCAACGATACCTGACATGTGGAAATCGATAGGGTAGTGTAGAGTGGTCTCGCGACTATAAGCAGGGATACTCGCAAAGAAAATGGAATCATATCGTTGATATCTCTGTTCACAGCTCCTGCAAGCGGAAATTTCTTTTTCTGTTATACATACATTCTTATATGGCGGATGCTCCAGCCATTCAATGATTTTTGGATGCCTTTCAATTCGCAAAAGGAGTAAAAAATTTTATATTTTTATTTTTATTTATTTGATTAATTTTTCTTTTATTTTTGGTTCTTTAATTATTTTATTTTGTATTTATTACTATTTTTTTCCTTACAGACTTTGGGTCAACGGCTAAAGGGCAACTTCAAAGCCATAATGAGTGCACTGAAATCGCTCAGCGACGAAGACATACAAACGCATTTGTCCAAGGGCTACTTCGATATACAAAATCAACGCATTGAACTCAGCGAAGTGCGTTTGAGCTATTGCGTTGCACAAAATCAAGGAAATAACTTGGAAGCCCATAGTGAAAACGATATACTCGTGCTATTGGACATGACACCGAAGGCCGAGTTGTTGGAAGAAGGTTTGGCACGTGAAATCATCAATCGTATACAAAAACTGAAAAAGAAAGCGAAATTGGTGCCAACCGACGAGGTGGTAGTATTTTATCGTTTAAGCGATAACGCGCAGGAGGAGCTTCAAGGCGTTTTTCTAAAACATGAAAATATGATTAAAGCTGCTATAAAATCAGAAATTTTGGTGTATAGTCAAGAGGCGATAAGCAAACTACATTTTATCATAACTGAGTTGGCCAACATTAAAGGTCTAGATGTAGAGTTCACCATTTGTGCAGCAAAGGCGACTCGCCGTAACACCCCACAAGCACATGGCGTAAATATTACGCTTGCTGGTGAACTCTCACCCCGCTTTGGACAAAGTCGCAAGGCAAATGTGCTATTGAAGAGTGTCGTAGATGGTAAATTTATTACACTAACACAATTGCAACATGAGGTGGATGTGAACTTTGGCCTCTATGACTGCAAATATAATATATTCTTGTTTGATGGAATGCAACAACAAGTGCGCGCATTAAGTGCCAGCGATTTGAATGAGAATTTAAATGGAAAGGTGCTGGTGGTGGCACGCAAGGCGTGTGACGTACAAAGAGAGCTCTTTCAGAGCGAGTAAAAAGTGAAGCGAGTAGAAACGAATGAAACGAATGAAAATTTAAAGATTAAAGAAAGTAATTTAAAGTTGCTTCTTTAGTATTTATTTAGATATTTCTTTAAGAAATCTTAAAAAAAAAGTGTCGCATTGATTTATATTGAACTGTAAACTATTCACCTGAATTAATAAAAGAATGGAATTTTTAAAATCTTGAAGCTTTTTAAATTTAAATTTTTAATTTATTTTATAATTTAATGGCATGTAATGATCGAGATAGATATTAACATATATTGCACATTAAACTTCATGGAACGATGAGACGAATCGATCTATCTGTCCATTTGACTATCCGTCCGTCCGTCTGTCCACAGTATAACTCAAGTAAGAATGAGAAATTTTGATGAAACTTGGTTCACACACTCCTTTAATGAACCAAGTTCACGCTCACCTCCCTTATAACTTTAATTTTGAAGTGTATGAAAATCGCTATAGTTCAGTAATTCAATTTGCAATTAAAGTCGTTATTATTAAGGAGAATTGCATTAAATTATAAAAATTCGACGGTTTGGTCTAATATGAACACGAATTGAATATGGGCACAATTGGACAACAGTTACGTCTTTGAGTCATTTTTACTTTCCAACCCCCGCTTGCCTACCAAACACGGCTGACATAGGCACAGAAATAAATCAACCTCCATGCCTTCTTTTTTTGTTGAACCTATGAACTTATGAATATTTAAGGAAACTGGAAAAACTGCTGCTCAAAATCGGACTTTCGTGTAGGCGCTTCAGGGTTTCGTCCTCTGCTCCGCCCACGGCTTATTCAACCTTACCTAGTTATTGAAGGTGACAACTCAGAAGTAAGTGTCCGATCAATACATCAACGAGAGTACTAAGTTTTCATCCCACATTTAACTTTTAATATTTGCAATACAAACTGCTCTATATTAACTTGGTCTTAAATATTCCTCTAGCGTCTCCTGCTTTAGATATAATTAGAAAGTCTGAGGTATTTTTTTCCTTACCTTCAAACCATATATGTGACCCGGGACCGAAGTAATGTTCATTGCGTGCTCCTCCTGATAGTATGCTTATTTCCTCCTTTTCCTGCCCTCACTCATATGGGCCTTACGCATTTTACCGTTAATTTTTGCAAAGCTGTCACGAAAATACATCAACTCAAAATACATCAATTGATAAGGACTTTTAGGCAACTAGCCATAAGAGTTGCTTCATACCTCACTTATAAATTTATTGCTTTGATGGCGAGGATGGCTGCCAAGGCAATCAAAAGATCATAAGTTCTAGTTATGACTAGGTACGGGTACATAAAAAGTAGAGAATGACTGGGAATGTTAATAGCATAGAGTGCATTTTGGACTAGAAAATATGGATCGCAGCTCCCTGAAGGTATGTGTCTCTCTACTTTCTAGAAGACACTACCTCCAATAACAATATCATCGTAGATCTCCTGCGGTAAAACTCTGCATCTGTCATTCACTAATAGACGCATTTACTACCTCCGAATAATTGTCATTTCAGCCTAAAAATGACACTACCTTTTATTAGTGGAAAGCACTAGATGAAAAGCTTTCACCCTTCAATCGAATAACCTTTCAAGAAGTTCGCAGCTTCTCAGCTGAAGATTCGCTCACTTTATTCGCCCCTCATACCCGCAAGCACGACGCTCATCCATCGCCGTTTAACTTCACTCCAAGTGTCGATTAAAATACGAAAATAAACTTGACTGCTCTTTTGCCAGGAGCTGGATAGGAGCGCTAGCTGTACTTTTAACAATTAAGAACCGCCGATGTCAAAATTGGAGGCCGTTTTAGCCGAGTGGTTAGCATTGTGTACTGCCACTCCAGGCCAAGGTTCAAATCCTGCTGCGACGAACATTCAAAAATTATAAAAAATTTATTTATATAAAAAATTAAGTTAAATTTTCTAAAAATTCCAACATTAATAGCTTTCTGGCAATAGACGAGGAAGAATGGTTTGGCTTGACCTGCTATTCTGTGTGCAGCCAATATTCGTTAGGCGGCTAAAGCTAATAACGAATTAACGCAGTAGAAATTAGAAGCAATTTAAATAGTTGCAAACCACATTACATCTACATGGACGAATCAAGCAGTTCTATGCGGAAGCATCCCAAAAGGCATCTAATAGAGGCCGAACCTCCACGCAGGCACATCAGAAAGGGAGTACTAGATTTAAAGTACAGAATCCAGCAAAACGTGCAACAACCACTGGACAGGACGTCGTACAGACGGACACTGAACACCATTCACCTTAAAAGACTCCCTTCCAGTGAATGGCGCCCTCGGAATCAAAACACTGCCCATAGCAGACGAAGACATCCGAATATTGTAGCAGGTTAAACTCCTACCTTTCCAGACGTGACTCCGACATCCGTATGCTCAGTATATAACGAGTCCCCGCGCGACACTAACCACCCCTTTTAAATGCCACTTAATACCGACACATCTAACCCCTTTTGTTGATAGTCAAGGGGTAATTACCTCAAAAAAACTTCCTTAGAGATAGTGGAACAGTTATATGGTCGCCGTAGGGAAGCAGCTCCATATCTATTGGGTTTCAGGTCGCGATTTCACTGTGTGGAATATTTGGTGAGATTGGCTAAAGTGTTGTCAAAACCAAAGTGTAAACCGAATTGTTATGTGAAATATAAAATAAGCTGAAGACTCTGTACAATAAATTCGTTTTGAAAATTGAAAGAACCCGAGGAGAAGGAATGTCCTACGGGAAGCAACACTTTTTGGCTCGCACGACCTAGAAAAGACTGCAAGACTGTTGCAAACCTAATGCTAGGCTACGTATCTGAAGTCTAAGGAGTTAGGCGTCAGTGAGATGTTGGAACACCTCCCCTTTTTCTTTCCAGCCCTCTTTAGAATAGTTTTAGACAGCTAGTAACTTCGGTATTTCCTAGCTTTCAGAACTAGATATCAAGAACATCTCAAATTCCCAAAAAGTGTTGCCGTCCTTTGCGACGACTACTTCCGCTCAAATAATATTGACTCTCAAACTGGAGCCACAAAAGCCCTAACAGGTCTATGTGAGGCGTATCAAGCTGAGTAGTACTAAAATTTGTTACTTCGCTTGGTTTTTCTTTTTTCATTCACCTTAATTCCACCAAAAGTACGCATGCCACATGTCAAATAACGGCACTAAATCAGTTTCTTAACTGTTTTTTTTTTTTATTTAACTTTTCTGCTCTGTATGGTACGAAGTACTTTTCTCAACTTTAATGCGGGAGCTCGTCAAACACACACAGATTCACCTCAAAACACACACAACTTCGCACCGCACCGAGGCAACGCAATCTTTAAGTGCTGAAACATGTTCAAGTATGGTGTAATTTGAGTACTCTAACAAAGTGTTAATACGAATATACAAATATACATAGGTGCATACACAAATATACATATTTGTATGTAGGCGGCAGTTGACGTTGCTTCTTCAATTTCTCTAATATACACCGTTATTCCTTAATACTCGTACTTGCTTGCTTTATTTACCGCCGGATTGCAAGATTTTTAATTGTTTTTGTTGGTGGTGCAGCATGTCCTGCATTTGTAAATGCACATATACACATACGTATGTACGTATGTATGTACGTATTACGCCTACTTAAGTAGGTAAGCACATATTTGTCAGCGGTCGCCCACGTCTGCTACTGCTTAACCACATGCGTCGCCCATCATTTAAGCACCAACTGACACACATACATATAAATAGAACAAAACATATGCAGAAGTGCATGCATACATATATGCCTCTCTAACTCCTTTCTAGTTCTAAATGTTGCATTTTCTTACTTTTTTCTCTACTTTCGTTCCAGCGCTTCAGGTCATGAGTATGTGTTTGCAATTTCCAAGTATCTTTTAACACTTTGTTCCGGCAGCTGTGTGCTACACATTTGAATATATAATAAGAATATACTCTGCTACACACCGCGGAGGAAACTGAAAATAGTGTACAAAAAATTTAGTTCTGAAGTGGTTTTATCTCCACTGCTGGAAAGCTGGAAAATTACCAGTTCATTTTTAGCTGAAATTGTAAGATTTGTGCCGAACATTTGAAAGAAGATAAAAATCAAAAATAAATTTCGAGTTGAGTATTTGGCATGCGAAGAGAAGATATCATATCCATCATCTTTGGATATGAGGTTTGCTTCGGGAGAAGATCCTTTTCACTTGAATGCAACTGAGTTTCGGAATCTATATAGATCGCTCCCTCTTTAAAGTTAGCTTTTTTTGTTGTCCAGGCATATTTTCCATAATTAGGTTCAAATATTTATGATTTAATAAACAAATTAATAAAACTTTTTAATTTTTTTTTTGCACCGTCTTCCATTTCGATGTGAATATTTTTCTTTTTACTTTATCAACTGGCAAATATAATTTGACATGGACGAAAAAACAGTGCTGCCAAATTTTTTTCAAGCATTGTAACCAGTTCGCCAGAATACCAAATTCAATTTCAGGTGTTGAAGAAAAGTAACAAAATTTACTTTACCGGTAACAGTGAGAACAGGCCTGTAAAAGGTGAAATGCAACTTTCGAATGTTTTCCAAGTTTTATATTTATCTAATATGTATATTCTCGCGTCACAGTGTAAGACACGATACTCCCCCGATTTTAATGAAATTTTATGTGCATATTCAGTAGGTATGAGAATAATATAACATCTATTTTTCAAACCCGAAAGAGGCCCCGGAACTGGGACTATTGGAATTTATTCCTCGATTTGCTTGACATTTGATGCATTTGCATTTTGCTTCGTTTGGCAGGTACATTACTTTTGTTTCCAGGAATAGTATCTAGGACCGATCTATTCGAAAAAATCGTTTCAATGGTTTGGTTTAATATATAAAATCTTTCGGTAGTGGACCGAGGGTCACCGTGCAGATATTTGATTGGCTTGGTCTATTCCATAAGCCGATAGATGGCATCGTTCATTGGCTTGAACAGAAGCTTTGTAGGAAGTATCCATTGTCTTGCATTTATGTGCGTAAAAGCCGAGCAATTCCATAGCGTTCGCTATGATAATTGTAATTTCAATGAATTATGCAGAATAAATATATTGTATCCAAGTGAGAGAAAAAATAACTCTCAGAACGAGATATATGCGATCTCGCTCAATGAGAAACCCTTACGTTGAAAACAAGTTACAGTTTTTCCAGAATTGATAACAGCTAGA